GAAAACAAAAAGAGTAGCTGTAACGTATAGCAGGCACTGAAGTTAACCACAGACCTAAACACCCACAGTCATTCACAATCCGCAATATCATATTAAATGAAAATCAGTAAGACTGTTTTTACTGACTGTTCAAGTGTCCCAGTGTCGGTCTAGCTGAGGATTCGTTGTAACTGGAACAAGGATATATTTCTGTGGAACAAATGTTTCCAAGCTCCTAAAATAGACCACGGTTAAACCGTGTTCCACATCAAATGGGGTTTCTTTCCTGGTCATATGTCACACCAGGCTATGACTGGCCCGATACCGACCCGCTTGCAGCCGTACAGTCTATTTCAAGAGAAGTCACATGGATGGCCCAAAGACCATTCTCAGACAGGAGTGAGGAGCCTGGAGAGAAGAGGGTAAGCCACGGAAACCACGGGATGGCAGGCTCAAATACCGCGTATTCCACTTCATCAGGCTGTACTTAATGGGGAAATTCACTTAATCGGAGTTACCTCCCAAGGAAAAGCTTGAAGTCCAACAATGCTTTATGGTAAAGCCTGCCACTTAATAGAGTCAGCAATTCTTGTTTTCTGTTTATATTTTCAGGAGATTTTGTAGGGCTCAGGTCTCACGTACATTTGAAGCTTGTGCTGGTTTTGTATGTCTGAAGATAGATCAGCTATGTAGCCACTGCCAGTTCCCAGCAATGACTCTGTTCCTCTGATGTTAAGTCTGCCCATTTACCATCAGCCCCCAAGTAGGCAGAGCTTCTTCCTGAGCCTGCAAGTCTCAGGGGCTCCGGATCGTAGGATTTACCACGCAAAGGCAATGAAGTACTGTCACTGTAGAGCAGCAGGGCAATAGAAATGTCAAATAAAGAGCATTCCCCCCTAACCTGCTTTGCATCGTAAGTATTTGGTTTGCAAGGAGAGTCAACATTTCCTCCAGCCCATCCCAGGAATTCCAGATTTAGTACAACCCGTGTTTAAGTGTGGCAGAGGCAGCCTATTTCTAAAACACAGGCTGAAACATACTTTACGAGAGAGGGTTGCTGTCTTCCCTTCCACTGCTCCCAAAACATTTCATAAATTGCTAGGGCTTAGGAAAGGAGATGATGGAAAAACTACACTAGGAAAAGCTTTCCATGTGTAGGGGGAGAAAATAAAAAATGAACAGAACAATATGGGTATGTCCTAACTCCAAACTAAGGACGTCCAGGGCTTAACACAGAGTTGAGTAACTGTTGAAGGTATTTCCATTGTATTCATAATATATTCAGTGGCCCACCATTATCCAGTATGCCTTTGCTAGAATTTTTCTGTTTTTCTACTTCTACTGTTTATTCTACTTCCTTCTAGTATTTCTTCCACACCTCATCAGAACTTCAGCCTTGAGCTAAAAACATTGCCTCCATCGTGTTTTCAAATACACATCAAGCCTTTGTCTTCAAATCCACATTTTTATCCTGTCCAGATGCAGGTTTCAGGGGAGGAGGGAAAGTGGGGGGAAGGAGATGGAAGGTGGTGCCGGCCCCCTAAGTCTTTCCCTGCTTCCCTTCGGCCAAGGGGTCTGCTGTGCCACGCGGTGCAGAGCAACCATGCTGCTATAAAAGCCCCCAGCACCAGCCTTCCTCCACCCACACAGCGGTTGCGTCCGCCCTGAGGGCTGTCACCCCACGGTCAGGCCTGCAGGAGGATACCAAGCGACATACATTATGCCTAAGTGTAAGGCACTCCCGGCCTACAGGAAAGGAATTTTGCGCTAGTTTAAGCATATCCGTATGGACAGATGTAAGGATAGCACAGAACTTCCAAAATAACTCCTGAGTTTCTTAATCTGGTGGTTACCCATGAAATCAGAGTGCACAGAGAGCCATGCAGTTGTCACATTCATGAATATCATTAGCTATCACGTACCTGTCAGCTTTTTTCCCTTATTCTTGTAGTATATGATGAAGATGACAATGCCAATTAGTGCCACAAAAAACAAGACGACAATCAACACGTATAAGATCCTGGTTGTTCCTGCGCAATGTAAAAAAGGTAGTGCCATCAACATGTAGCTTGTACTCAGCAGTATGACAATCCTTGCTCATTTTACCCGCTTTTCCACAGGAGAGGGGTTGGTTTTTTTCCTTCCTATTTGATTTTCAGTTTCTATAATACAGACAAAAGCTCTAGCACTCGTGCAGTTCTGTGACAGGCAGCCTTACTGAAGGTATCTGGTACGAGCCATCTTTGTAAAAAACAGAGTCTTGGTGTCTCAGAGAGGCATGATCCAGTCTTGCTCCTCTGAAAGTTCCCTTGCAAGGTGCCAGCAGCCCATGGGCTGTGCTTGCTCTGCCTCACGGGACGGAGGACATACCTCTCATGAAGGCTATAAACTTCAGCTGGCAAAATTTGTCCTTTATTTCAGGTTATGAAGGATCCCTGCATGCCAGGCAAGCAGCCTCCCTGGTACCATATCCACACTGGAGAGGGAAATGGGCAGTGGGCAAGAAGGGAGAACTACGTTCAGCTGAGACTTATCTATTGCTATAAAAGAAGCATGGAGAGAAGCTGCTACCCTTTATACAGATAATGTGTGCATGGAAATCAGCAGGCTGAAAAAAGACAGAGCTGTAAATGTGATGGAGGTCATGGGTATAACAGCAATGCTGCTTGCCATGCAGTTTCAGTGGGAGGTGTAAAGCTCTGCTTAGTAGTGGACACGGGCCCTAGAGCTGCCAAGCTTAAAGTAATATTTAAAGGTTGGATTTTCCAAGAGCGCTGTCTTGGTCTACAGCTGCTCCCCATAGAGTCACCCACAACGGGAACGGAGTTAAGCCAGCCAAAAACCCTCATAAACACACCCCTCCTCCTCCCTGGTACTTTCTAACAGATAATCTGTATGAGGACACATACCGTCTTCTGATGGCTCAGGCATCTTCCGTTCTGCGCAAACTGCATCTGACTTGTCAGTCCCAGGCACTATTTCTGCCATTCCTAGAGCTGTACAGCTGAGAAAGAAAGACGAAGAGGCCAGGTTGACAAGGAGGGAGCTTGTCATGGCTCCTACACTCATGCAGAGTAGTACTTTCTGTTGTAACATACAACATTTATCCTGCATTTCTCCACCCTTAAGAAGCTCAGATACCTTCTTTATTTTCAGCTGTGTTAACTCAGCAGTTCTGTTGTTACTGCTCTCTCTTGCTCCCCACCAAGGAGAAATCAAGCTTCCGTGTGAGAACGCTTTTATCGCTGCACAGCCAACAGAGATGCTCTGTGCGCTCCGCAGACAGCCTGAAACACCCCACTGAAAAATGCTTTTGCCCAAGCTTCTCCCTGCCCTGTGGCTAGCGCAGTCCTTTTGCAAGATACAGGGACTTACTTGGTCCAGGATTTACACTCGTCGGTGGATGAAGCGACCTTTGAGAAGTAGCCTCTGGGACACGGTGTACACATTGTGTCCTTGTCTTGTTGCACTGTGTGTAGTAAAGGAAGAAAAACTTCATAGCTGAGTTTCCATGAGTTCTTTCCAGGTAAGGGGAAGGTGACTATGCTCCCCATACGCCCGCTCCACTCCCCCACCCCGCCCCACCCCGAAAACCTCCCTGAAGAGAGAAGGATTTTAGATTACATTAGAGCAACAATGACAGTCACATGTAAGAAGAAAAAAGTATGCTAGTCTCACCTGAGCACTTATCTACACGATCAAAATGAGAAATGACTGGGAGCCATTTGCAGTTATTGTAAAATAACACACAGCTATTATATCCTTCCCCTTCTATTAACTTCCTTGTGCGTCCATGCTGTGCCACAGACAGTAACGCTAACTGGTATTGCCACTTTTATGAAGCCACAGTAAACAAAATGCTGTGTCAAGATTTGCTAGACAGGAGAAAAAACAGCACCACTGTGCTCCAGGCCCATGCAGCATTTCATCCTCCATTACTCTATTATGTGCTGCTTTTTTGGGGTTCCTCGTGCTTGGTGCAACTCTTCCCAGTGTTGATTAAAACTCTGAACTTGACCATCTCTATTTTCCACCCACAAAACACCTGCATTTTGTTTTCGATCAGACTTAGGACTAAATTAAATGTCTGTAATAAATCTTTGCATTACAAGTCATCTAAAACAAAGAATACTTGCACTACCTGAAAGGTGTTAATCGCTTTTAACTTGCTTGTAACGTTATAAAATGGCAAAGCAAAGTCATTGGACAAAAACTGATTTCAAATCCGACCTCAGCAACAATCCCCAATGGACTGCTTCTCTGAATACTGGAGCAATGCATGTCCTAGCGACTCACAGTCAGACACCTCCACAAACATTAGAAACGCATTGAACACCTTGCGACTATTGCCATGTCCACGCGCTATCTTGCAAAAGTCACTTGATCCAAGATACTATTTAAACTACAGAGGCAGAAGCCTTCAAAATGCGAAGAGTCCAGGAGGGTTATATGCAGTAGTAATGATAACCCAGGTATGCATCTTCTGTTGCCAGTCATCTGAGAGTCTAAAGTATCCTCTCTAACATCACAACCCACACGATGCTGGCCCCATTCTGTAGGCCTGAGCCAGACATTTCACTTTGTATGTTCCCTTTCTGTATCTTACCAGGATGCTCGACTCCGAATCCTGGAGCACATATGGTATTTCGCTGACAGCAGTCGCAGTCTTCATTCCAGTGGTAGCCCATCGTACAAGCACACTGCCGCTGGAACGTGCTGTTCCCTGGGCTCACTTCTCTCAAAGCTTTCCCTAAAAGAAAAAGCAGATGAGAGTAAAAATCTCTCTGATAATAAGCTTCAAGTTTATTAACCTCCCGTTCTGCCTATTTGCTTTGCTTGAGTGCTAGATGCAAAACCATTCACGTTAGAGGAAATGTTATCTTTGAAAAAGCATGGGAGACCCTTGATCGGCACAGGGCTCCTCGCTGATTGCGCTCCTGAACAACACTTTTCCTTGTAGCTGCTGTACAAAATAAACAGAGCTTTTGCAAGGGTGAAACTAGCATGTTAGGAGAAGTGAATGCACAGTATACTGGGCAAAAGGACAACCTTTAAGACCCAGCTCACAGGAGTAAATGGCCCCAGTGAAGATAATCATTATCAGCAGCACGGAGACTATGGTCGCAGTGCTCAGCACAGGCGAGCTCCCTCTCTGCCAGGCTCTTCTGCAAGCCCAGCCTCCAGTGACGGCTATGTGAACAAAGCAACTTCCCTAGATCCACTTTCCCATCTTCATGCTTCACTAATTTGGATTAAAAGGTTCTTCAGTATGAACAGCTCACCTTGATCACATATTTTATGTAGTAAGCATTTATCTTCTTCATTCCAGACATCCATATACTCGTTTGGGCCACACGGCTGGCACATGGTATCAGAAGTACCAGTGCATCTAGCAGACATATACTTTCCTGTGAATGAGAGAAGGACAAGTAGGTCATTTGCAAGTTGCACACCAGCTGTCTAAGGAGCTTAGGGAAAATAACAGCTTGGCCTGACACTGCTGTACGGCTGTGGACAATCGTTTCTTCCTGCCACCTTGCCAGTTCCTCAGCCTGGCCCTCATTTACTGTGGCACCGAAGCATCCGTGAAGCTTATGGCCTGGGAGCAGTCCTATCTACGCGCACAAGAACCAAGCTGCTTTCTCTCTCCCGCAGTGGTTAAGCGCTATCCCAACAAAATAGCTGCTATGGCTTTTGCTGAGGTCAGCAGGACCACTCCTGCACTAGAAGGTACTCGTAAGCCTGAAATCATGCACCTGCGACCGTATGTGCCAACAGATTAGCAGTCACAAGAGCAAGCTGCCTACTGACCTACAGAGCTGTTTCTAAGGAGCTTTTCAGTTATGAAGCCGGTACAGCCCAGTGCTCACATACCTGGCTCACACTTTGTGCAGCACCGTCCAGAGTATTCATAGTGTTGCTCGCTTTCACACGGCGGAGTGATTTGTAGTGACAACTGGAGCGGAGAAGGAGGGAGAGGAGATGAGAACCAATATACCTGGAGAGCTTCAGACCTACCTAGTCACAGTGCTGGCAGAGAGGAGGAAAACTTTTCTTCTGTATAGTGTTTTAGATAGCTAAGCAGTAAAAATTACCCAACATTTATGACTTCAAAGGTGCTTTATAGACATGCTAAGAATATGTACTTGATGCTGTAGACACAGGGACTTGTAGCATAGGCAAGTGATAAATAAATAACAGTCCTGCAATTTGTCATGAACTTTTGGCCTGCTGTATAACCTTTTCTTACAGTACTCTATTATTTGAAATCTATGACTTTGAAACAATTGTAAAGAAAAAAAATTGGCATAGAGATACTTCTGTAGTCTCTTCCACAGATATGACCTCAGCCCATGACCTGGGCAAGTGACAGTTTTAATGTATAGCATTAAACAAACAAGTAAGGTGAACGATTTATACTCCTGAAAAAGAAGAAGTTCTCAGCTTCCCACTGGGATACACAATACTCCTGGTTAGCCCCAGAAAATATTGGACTTTAATTTTGCAGCTTTTTATGGCTCCTACTGTGTCCTGCAGAGATGGTCTCATGGAACTGAGGCAGCCATCCAAAGAGGTGATACAATTAAGCCAACAGCTTTTTCCCTCGCAAAAAACCAAAACCAAACCAACACAAACCACCCCCCCCCAAACCACCTGAAACTGTTACGTGGGAGGGCATCTGCAAAGCAGGTAGCAGCGTTGCCTCTAGATCTTATGGGCCTTTGCGTCCCCTCCCTGCTCTCGGCTGCCTGTACACACCGTGGTCCCACCCGCAGCCCAGCACATGCGGCTCCCTCGGCCAGTCTTCAGGGCATGGCTCGTGCTGGGGAACCTGGCCAGCCAAGCACTGTGCCCAGCCCCTTGCTGACCCTGCTATGGCTGCCCGGGAGCCTCCCAGCAGCCGTCCTCCAGGCCAACTCAACACCTTACAACCAGCTGTTGATCTTGCAATAGATAAAATGATTCAAAATCCAGCCTGTAGCAAGGAGCCCTTCATTATTGGATACAGTTGTTAAAATCTCATTGACTTGGAGAAAGCTGCAGTAAAGCTTCTGCTGCTGGTTAAAGGGAGCTTTTGTTATCTAATAGCATATGACAGCCCTGTGTCTACTGACACTGGTTTCCATTCCTCTACTTAGCATTCTCCCCTTGTTTCCTCCAAGTCTTTACTTCTCCTCTTTCATCCTTTTCTAGTTTCAGCAATTGCAATTTCTTTAAATAGAAAATATTTTTCCATAAGCACCTTGTCCTCTTCTAATGCTGGCAAGTGTCTTGTAACTTAAAGACAACCAAAAATGTCGAAATTTTTCTTTAAAACACCACCTTTTGGCTTGGAGTTTGAGACATGGGTTGGCACGTAACTTGTGTTTATCAAAACTGCACTAGCTGTGTCTGCAACAGAGTAAGTACCTCAAGTCAGGTACTTTTTGCAGGTTAGAGCCATTTTTTATCATGACAGCAATCCCAGGTCAAATTAAGAGTCCAGTCTTGCAAGAAATCTTCTGTTGTCTCATTGTTTCCTTGTCTCTTTCTTTGCATTCATTAGCAGTACCTTTCTTGTGATTAGATTATACGTTTTTCAGAACAAAGATCATGTTCTACCTTTGCGCAGCACCTCCCAGGAGGGGCACAGGATAACGATCAGTGCTGGCAAGGCGAGAGGCGGTCTAGGAAAGGGAAAGCCGGGCCAGCCTGGCAGCTGAACAGGGACACCGCTCAGTGCCCCAGGGGAAACGCTGAAAACACTTCTGTAATCAAAGGCACTTGTCTGTAAGGCACTTCAGGCTGCAACACTAAGCTGGCTAGCACGGGGATGAGGCAACATTGCAGGACCGAGCAGCAGAGGGAAGGTCTTGAGCAACTGATTCCCTATTCCCAGCCATCCGAAAAGGCAACAAAAGTGATGAGACCAACGACAGGTCCAGTTGCTCGCTCTTTGTAACAGAATGTCCTCTTCTTCCTCGTTTGCCCCAGTTTGATAGTTCCTCTTTAGAAGAAAAGACTAAAAAATTACTGAAGTGTCAAACAAGGGCAAAGTCATCCTCTTTAAGGAAGGATATGCAAATCTGCTAAAGAGCATTCAGCTAAAGGGCCTGGAATAATTTCTGAGAATCACAACTCAGCCTGAGGAGAAGCAGCAATCCCCTGGCGCTGAGGCTAGGGGAGCAGGCTAATTGCTGGGCTACCTTTTGGAAATCATTTCATACCTCCCTGTTTTACCATATAAAGAGGGCTATTGTTACAGTATACTCACAGCTGCAGCTGCATAAATCTACACTATGTCAATAAGTAGTCTCTTCTGTGACCATGTCCTTCCCCTTTTCACACAAGCCAATGCATTCACAGAGCTGCAGCACTCCCTCCTTTGATTTATGCTCAACAACATAAAGACGAGGCTCTCTGCGTCCACGTGCTAACCCCCACGTGAGCCCAGCCTCCTCGCGAAGGCGAGGGATTTTGGCCTGGTATGGACTGGCCGGACCTGCCGAGCCTGGAAGCTGGGGGGAAGAGAGGACACGAAGGGAAACAAAAGCAACCTGGGGTTTTCTTAGGGTGGGAGCCGATCCAGTGAACTTGGGCCCTTTTGCTAACACAGCCCCACTGAAGTCAGGTTATCCCTTGTTTAACCCTCTGCCAGGGGACTGTGCGTGTCTCATTGTCAAACTGTACGTCAGCTTCCCCCGGGGGCTGAGAAGTACTCGTGCTGCTGGCAGCGCAATGACCCGACGCGTCGCCACCACCAGCGCATTCCCACCGCAGTGTCCTTTTGAGACGGGGAAGTGCAATTCATTTTGCAGATGAGGAACTCGCACCCGGAGGCAGGCTGGCTTTACGGAGGTGACAGGAAACCAGACCAAGTCTCCCAAGTCTCACATTTGCCCCGTAGCCCTTGGAACATCCTTCCTCTCATCGGGCGCTGGCCGGTGGGACGGAGCGATCTAGCTGTCACTGAGCTCTTGTCTCGAGAGAGAAGGGGCCTCGATGAATGTGAAGATGTCAACCTCCTCTGAAGTGATTAAATAAGACAATAACCAGCCTGGTCATTCCTTTAATGGTCTCACTATTGGTGAAGCTGTTCATTAAATACCACCACCACATACAAATGAGGGCTTCAAAGAGCTCTAGGTATCCTGCGTAAATTTGTCACTTAAGAAGTGTGTGAAGCACACAAGTTTGCACTAGTTCCTAAAAAAGTCAGCTTTCCCGCTTGATTAACATTACCTCAGAACAAGTATATCTGACAGGCATAGCATCTAGGGGAAAAAAGACAAACTTCCTTTGGGCTTGGTGGATCTGGTTCGGTAAAGCATGCCAACACCTGCTTACCTTTAAGCACATGAGTAGCACCACTGACTTCTTCGGATAAACAGGCATGCTCATGTCAAGGTTTGCAGCAGGAAGGTGTTTTGGTCTTCTTCGGAAACAGGCATGCTCATGTCAAGGTTTGCAGCAGGAAGGTGTTTTGGTGTTGAGCTGCAGGCAGCCTTTTCAGCTTCTTCCCCCCCCCATTTGTCGAAAAGGACGCTAAGCAAGAGTGTGCTTGTAGGGTCGGAGAGCTTCGATGACTCAGAGCTACAAAGCACCACTGTGTTACTCAGACCTTGAAAAAACACACACACAGGTGCTTCTGAAGGGGGAACCAGCAGCATTCAGATTCCTGTCCTCAGGCTTAAGGAAATATTTATTCTTGGTGCCATTGAGCAATCGGATGGCAGCAGAAGCTGTGTGTCATGGATGCTAAAATTACTTGCTTGCTCAGATGAATATTCAGACAGACATTTCAGAGAAGATAGAGTTGCATGGGCCTCTTTCCTTTAAAATAAAAAATCTGGAAGAACAAGCTCGGGGGTTTCCGCAGTCTTTTTCCCATGTCGCTTCTGAACAAGAACCTGAGGCCTCAATGGGAATTGCTCATTACCGATAATCTGTTTTGCAGAATTTGAAACATAAAGGGACACGTCAAGGGGTAACTATCTTAAGATGACACCTTCTTGCTCAGTGTAGTTGTTTCTGGAGAGTATTCAAGTCATCTGTCATCATTTCACTGAGAAAGCACTTTTTTTTTTTCCAATTTAGTATTGCAGACCCAAAGTACCTACGGGAGAGCCAACTATGGTGTGTTCTGCCTTGCACACCACTTGTTCTTTATATTTTGGAGTCTGAGTTTATTCAGACCACTTGCTTTTGAGGTCCTTAGCCTTGCCTGCTGTAGAACGATAATATTTCTGTGGATTTGGGGCTTTATTTGCCTTTGTCAAGAGGACTGAGCTTTGACCAACATTTCCTGATCTGCAGTAGCCCCTGCAAGCACCGCACCCTGGGATCCAGCTAGGATGGCCTCTGCAGTCATCTGCTGCTCTTTCTCCTTCAAATGTGAGCCACTCCCTCTCCTCTCACACCGATCGTGTGCCCACAGCCCTCCAGCTTCCCACCTGATTTGGGTCAGCAGCATCACTAAGCAAAGCCCAGAGTTCTTCAGCTCATTGCCAGTTTCAGAGGCTTGCCTAAAAAATTATTTAAGAAAAAGACGAGAATCTGTCTTTCGATGGGCACAGCTCTGCGGCTGGTGCTCCCAGGAGCTCTATTGAGGCACGTAATAGTAACACGCACAGCGAAGGACTCTGGAAATTTTTACAATTGTGAATTTATAAGGGGAAAGAGGAGTCCTATGTTGAAGACTTAATCATAATCACATGGATACTGAACGCAACATTTCCTTCATAGACAGTCTTCGCTGTTGATAAAAATTCAATCAAAGCAGCACACAAGTCACAGCTGTGCAATTCCAGTTATTCGCTTGCAGGTCTGTAATTCATCACAAAAATCTTAGATTTTGAATGAAATGCTTTTGGTGATGTCAACTTTCCAGTGACCAGTAAACCACATCACAGAACTACCACCACGTGGTAAAATACAGCCGGGAAATGGCAACAGCTAAAAACTAAACATTATTTCACTCTTAAAAATAGGTCCCTGAAACCCTGCTAGAGCCTTAATACCTAAAGAGGCCAGAAAGAACACGAGGGATAAAACTGAATAAAGAGGTCAAGAGAAAGCTGTAACTTGCAGCCAGGAAGCTGGCAAACAGTGGTGAAAGCCCCATCCTGACTCTTGCCCTTGCCCCTCTGTGTTAGGGCGCAGCAAAAAGCAAACACCTGAGCAGCTGGTGCTGCTCTGCCAACGGGAAGGACCATTCATCAATCTCCCACCCACCAGAGTTATTTCTAGCCAGCAGACTACGTGAAGGAGAAGTGCCGCACTGACCACTCTCGCAGCGGGGCGGTGGGGGTAAGGCAGACGGGAACCTCAGGTATATCAGATGGGAGATGACAGAGGTGATAGGTGGCAGGGCTGAAATGGCTACCGACCAAACATGTGAATCAGCCAGCTTTCCTCTGTGGACTGAAAACTCGCCATCACGTGCACAGCATTCATCATTCAGAGACAAAGTCATCTTCATTCAGCAGTCAGAAGGGTACGCCTAACATTTTCATCAACTGGGCTGTTGGTAGCGTCTGCATGTTGCCGCCTTGGTCTGCACTTTGATGCAAAACCTCATGCTTTAACCTACGTGTCCTCACGGCCACAGTAATTCAAAGACTAATAGCTACTAGGTAGAATATTTTAAAGATGAATCAGAGAGTAGAAACCCAAAAGCCAACCAAACCAAAATATTTAAGAAGGCAGCTTGACAGCAAGACAGCAGTCCATAACAAGCAGAAATAAAAACTGAAGAATAATGACATTACCTAGATCTGCTTGTGAAAAGGCCTGTAAAGGCAAATTTCTTCTAGATTAAACAGGTGCACCAGCAGCACTCCATAGGAAAGCTTAGCAGTCTCACCATTACAGGTACGGTCCCAATGACTCGCCGTGAGTAACTCTACACCCATTCATGCTTAATTAAAATAATAATATTCAGAAAGGCACTAAAGACACAATCATTTATGTGGAGCATGCTCCTCTTGCATTTTAGTTCAGTGGATTATTTTTCTATGCTTCATCAGCTGAAGCTGAATCTTAATGAAGAAACGACCATGCAAGATTTCTTGGGCTAGACTATTTCTGGATGCCAGATTAAGGAGTTCAATGGGGACTTCCTATGCTTAAAAATCTCTGTGTTTATGTACTCCTTCCTTCCAGCATGCCACCAGAGTGAAACAACATATTAATCTCTTATGGTGTGAGGCGAGACCCTGCAATCCTAGGTGAGCTGCCAGGGAGAATGCGAAAGCTCATCATAGAAAAGAGGGGAAGCCTGCTTTCGCCGCCTGACGTGCTGTTTTGCTTCCTTCTCCTGGATTTTACCGTTGCACATAGAACAAATACTGAATATTCTTGCAGGCAGAAACGAGAAGGGCAGTGGTAGGGCTGTAGCCCTTACTTTGAACGATGGCTGCATAGCACGGATGCATGTAAGACCCACAGACCATTCTGCCTTGCTGTGAGTTATAGTAAGAATTGCATGATCGGACCTGCACCTTCTCCATCATGAAGGAATCACTGCCTTTATTAAAGGGCTCAGGACTGGGCTGAGAATTGGTTCATTTACTCTTTAGGTGTCACCACAAGGAACCAGCTCTGCCGGGGACTGTGGGCCAGTCAAGTCGGTGGAAATAGCCCTCCCTGATTTGAACGGGTTTTGGCCCATTTCCTTAAGCAGCCTGTTTTACTACATGTGGTATTACAGGGGAGAATTTTTTTTTCCTGTGAGAGCAGACTGAAGGAATCATCTCATCGTCCTTCCTACTGAACAATGAAAAGTTACTGAAGAACATGATGCTCATAAGGCAAAACTATTTGCTGTGGCAAAATAACATGCTCAAAATAGATTCCCTTGCGTGCTACGTAAGCAATTTTTAGGACTCCGTATGAACCTGGTAGCACATTTTTCCCTATCTGTATTCCAGATCAATGGGTTGCCTAACAAAACTTCACAGTATTTTTTTTTCCATACAAGATTTTTTTTTCTTTTCCCTCCACTTTGACCACTGACTAAATATATTCTGCACCCATCTGCAGTCACAAATGTTGTTCTTTGTCATTCTTGAACAGACCCTATATACTTTTTTTTCTTTTGGAGTAGCCACAAAGTGGTGAGGGTGAATGACCTCATTTTTTTTTTCCCTCCTTGGCTAATTGGCTCTTGCAGGGTGGATTAAACCGGCCAGCTCGGCTCTTTTACCGAACACAGCCTTTCCTGGTCTCTTTTATCTACATTGTAAGAGGCGAGCAGCCAGCGGGTTCTGCAGAGCTGAGAGGCGGCTCCGGGTCTCAGCTCTCCGCCTGCCCGCTGCACTGCCATCCTCCACCGCGGCCCCTGCCCCAGCGTCTCCGATAGAGACATCGCAGGGGAGAGGCAAGGAGCCACCATGAACACATTTGGCCAAGCGGTGAGGGGAACATGCCTCCGCTGCAGGGACGCTGGTGGGGTCACGGGCAGAAGAGTACCCGGAAAACAAGGGCGAGGGTTGGATGCTGCAGCCCGCGTGATGGCAGGCAGCCGGAGAGATGTATCCGCTCCCTTCCCGGGCCCGCATGGGCAGACCTTCCTGTGACTTCAGTGGGAACGGGATGGGGCTCTATCTGCCGTGATTAATGACTCTTTGGCTTTGTTTGCAGCCACGACATCCTAAGCGCTGTACAAACACCGAGGAAAGCCAAGCCCTCGGCCCAGAGAACTCACACCCTGAAAAAGCAAACAAAAAGAGGTAACCAAGGGAAGCACTGTGAAGAGCAGCTGAGGTGACAGCATAGGTATGGGACAAAAAACAGGATGTCCCAGAGCGCCAGGCGTAAGCCAGAGTTGCTCCTCTGGTGCAGTGCTGAGCCCTTGGCAAGGCACCACGTCACAAATACGATTGCACACTGTGGTGACACACAAGCAAAGAAAAATCTGGAAACTTCCATTTCCCCAGAGCTGAAGTGTCACACCAAACCCTGCTGCCACGGAGCAGACACAACAGCAGACTGCCCTGGGTGCCAGCACTGCCTGCAGAGCAGGACTCGCCTGCAGCGCACCCTGTGACTTTCAGCCATTGCTGCTCATAGAGGTCCAACAACAGTCCTTCGTCTACTACATGAACTTTGGACCATTTTCAAAGAAGAGCAAGTCATAAAAAGGGGCAAGTTCTTGCAGGCAGGCTATTGTGTTGTACAGACTGAGGCCTACCCAAGTCCATAGTGCAACCTGGTTAAACAGCACTTCATTTTTGTATTGCATTTGTAGCACACAAATATTTGCCTTTGTGCCTTCCATCAGTAATAATGAACCATTCTGAGAGCAGCTGCTTCTCCATGCAGGCAACGCCAACCAATGCACGCTTAAACCAGGGGGTGAGCAGCTGCAGCAGAAGCCAGCACCGCCTGGCAAGTTGAGT